TTATATAACACATTTCGAGTATCTGGAGTTGTGGCTGTAGGTGCACATGGTCATAAGACTAGTTCAGGTATTATGTCAGATCAACTTTGCTCGATGAAAATCGTCACTGGCTCTGGGAAAGTATGTGAATTTAGCGAAGAAATAGACAAAACAGAATTCAATGCTGCGAAAGTAAACCTAGGTGATTACTAATTTCATTTTGATTGTTCACATTTCCTTCATTATCTAACTTATTATCGCTTAGGTTTACTTGGTATAATCTATTCGTTAACTTTCCGTGTACAACCGATGTACAACCTTCGTAAGACTGATATCTTCGTTCCAGCAAATGAATGGCTCAATAATCCACAGAATATCAAAAATCTTTTAGAATCATCTGATGGTATTAGTATAGCTTATTGGCCATTCAATGGATTCAATCAGAGTGATCCGAATCCTCTTGACCCTAATAGAGATCGAGTTGCTATTTCGAATTGGATACGAACTGACGAACCTGTGAGCTTCACACAACAACAATTCAAACAATCATATGAAGCTAAAAGACAGGGTGTTATTAAGCAGTATAAACTCATAAGCAGTAACTTACAGAATCCTGATGCAATTCCGAATATTACTGCCACTTTATTTGGTGGTTTCGGTAATGCTAGTACTGTTTTTCAAGCACCAGATGCTATCCATTATGTAGCTAGTGAAGAAAGCGCCAAGTTTGATTTCGTGGAAATCGGTTTCAAAATTGATCCAGATTTTTCTAATGTCGCTGCTGAATTTTCTTATGTAATCCAAACAGTGAGTTTGTTACTGTATTTAATATTCTGCTTCTGTCTTTCTGTTGGTTTACTTTTGTTGCACTTTAGAATAACCTTATTATATTGTAGATATATGAATTTGCAAGAAAAGGAAAATTCCCATTAAATTATGTTGCAGATTTTAGAATTACAAAATCAACTGAAGCATTATTATCCTTTATTTTCAATAATGATCCTGAAATATTGTATTGTCAAATGGATTTTGTATCAGTTACTGGTACTCCCTACTACGAAGAATTTACACAATTGCTAGCGCAAAGATATTTTGACAAATATAAAGCAATGTAAGAAATTATTAAAATTTTTAATTGCAATGAATTTTATAAATTCACTAATTAAAGAAACTCATTTACTACAGGCCTCATTGGGGAAAAAGATGGGAATTCATTCCAAATGTGAAATCTTATCTTTCTGATGTTTTATCAAATCAAATTAAACAATTTGAAAAAGTACGTACAAAGTACGACCCTGATAACATTTTCTTTGATAATAAGTCTTTGCAGGATATATTTAGTCATGCTTTAGATTCATAAAATAGTATGACTCGGCAAAAAAGAAAATTCACTTAATAAAATAAATAAACTAGTTACTAATGGACCAGCTAACTAATTGACAAGCTGACTAATTAATAAAAATAAACAAGTAATAAAGAATTTAAATGATTAATTATTATTGACTAATGATTACAATATCTTGAGCCTTATATGAGAACTCTGATTTTAAATTGAATAGCAATATATTATATATCACATTAAAAGTAGTACATTAAATCAATATAGTTATACCACCGGGTCTTAATCAAGAAATAGACCAACAGAAATGTGAATAAAACCAGTTTTAATTGCAGTGGCCAAGGGTAAGTATTATAAACTTAATGTAGCATGAGAATAACAGTTTATCAAATATTTTTAAAAAATATATTAAACTTGAAATAGGAATCTTTAAGCATTTTCATTCATTTATATTCATGTTTACAAATACGATTTTAAACCCATAATTTATATAGATTTAGTTATGAATTAATTTCTTATTATATTATGGTTTATTTGCTAGTCACCATATAATTTTATAGGGTGCAACTTTTGTTAATAGTTCAAAATAATTTACTTGATAAAAAATTTCTTTTATGCATAAGATATTGAAAAAAATTAGAGGATGATTTTAATGCTCAAAAGAGGTGTAAATGTTCAGTACACTATAAAAAAAAAAAAAAACTTTAATATAGTCTCAAATCCTAGGGATCAGATCAAATCAAACTTTGGTCAAGTTTGAATCTGGTTCCCAAACCCGATTTCGATATGTCAGATTAAAAACAAACTTTTAATTAAGTTTGGTTTGATTGAGTTTTGCCCAGAAAGCTTATGAACATGTTCAGGTTTGATAATGTTCTAAAAATTAAACTTGTTTAATTCAAATCTCTATTTTATAAACTATTGCATTAGGAGGTTTTAGAATTAACTTATTTCAAATATAGGTGAGTTTAAAAAATCCTAATAACTATTTTAAATTTTCGAATTAGAACTTAATAGGCGTAGCCAGTGATAAAATTGTTATAAAAGCCTTACTGTTTTAGTGGTTAAGATGAGTTATTTAGTATTAGAATTGTTGTTTCGATAATGAATTATTTAAAAAATTCTGTTACAGAACTTACTATTCCACTAACCACAATAGTTAATGCGAGTTAGTTAGCTAAAAACTATGCTTCAGGAATTACTCGCTATTCTGATTAAGATGAGTTTACATTGGAATTATTATGTTTCTATCATGAATTAATGTAAACAACAATATGCAGTTAAGTTTTGAGTTAGTTTGCATTAAAATTGGCATAAATTTACTGTGAATAATTCTGCTATAGAGCTTACTCCCTATTCTTGTAACTACAATTTGTAGTTAAGGCATTAGAACTGTTGTAATTTCTATCATAATTATTGTAAATAATTTTGTTAAAGAACTTACTCAATATTCCTGTAACTACGATATGCGGTTAAAATGTATTTGTATTGGAATTGTAGAGATGTTAAGTGGTCCATGGGAAGCTGGTTCGTACCTAGTCCAGACCGGACTTTTAGGAACTTGTTCAGGACTGGTCCACCTATAATCTTGTGATCTCAAGGTCATCTGATTGGCTAATTTATGTTCTTAAATAAATATGATTACAATACTGAAACGAATTTAATACAATCCATGTAATTAAAATTCTGTAATTAAACCGCAATAGATTAAACCATTAGTATTAGAGTAGGACCGGTTTTTAATTTTTTTTGACAGGGGTGAACTGGTTTCTTAACTAGTTCGGACCCAGATTTTTAGGGATCGGACCGGACTGCACCAGGCGCACCACTTACATCCTTATGGAATTGTCATGATTTCTATCATGTGTTACTTAAAAATCTAATTCTATTACAGAAATTACTCGATATTCCAGTGACCTATTAAGTTAGTTCGCATTGGAATTGATGTGATTACTACTGTAATTTACTTTAAATATTCTGTTACAAAACATACACGCTATTTTGGTGACCACAATAAGTGTTTGAGTTAGTTTGCATTTAAATTTACGTAATTTATTTATAAGCTACTAAAAAATTCTGCTATAGAACTTATCTGCTGCAGTACACCTGTTAAGATGTGTTAATTTATATTAGAATTATCACAATTTTTATTGTCAGCTACTGAAACAAAACTCTGTACTAAACTTACTCACTATTCTGGTATTCATAATATACGATTATATGTGGGTTAGTTGGTATTGTGAGTTACTGTAATAATTTTTTAAAGAGCATACTTGTTATTCTGGTATCAGAATATGTGGTTAAGTTAGCTTGCATTGGGATTTTCATGATTTCTATTATAAGTTACTGTAAATAATTTTATTAAAGAACGCAATCACTATTCCATTGACTATAATAAGCAATATAGGTCCAATTTTTTCAGTTAATTGCGACTACGAATAGTATACTATTATTTATTCTTTTTAAAGAATGATTCATTAAGTAAAGAATGATTGTATTGGTTTTTTTGAATCACATAAACACGTGAAATCTATTATAGTAGCATGATCAAGTTATTAAATTTGAGATATGTCGAGATTATTAGAATAACGTTATTTATCTATACCATACTGTCTTTTGAAATCTCATTTATTAAGAGATAATCTAATAATTATATATTATTATAAAAAAATTCAATAACAACACTGATGCCAAGTGGACTAGCAAAGTGTTGCAAAGCCCGAGTCATTAACTGTCCAATTGGAGCCAAAAATTCGTGCCAATTCGTGCCTCTTACGTACAAGATCTGGGTTTGATCCGTGCCACCGAAACCCGTACCATTCCGCGCCAACCATTACAATTATAATACATGTTTATTATAGGATTTGTGGCACCGCTTAAATAAGCTATATTAAAATTTATGCATTAAAATAAATATACAAAAACATATATGTATTTTTATTAGTTATACATTCGTATAGACCGCTATACAATATGTATAAAATGGCATACTTTACATGTTTACTATTTTGTACCACATATAGGTAGTTCGTCGGAACGGAGTTATTGTAGATTTAGATTCCATCTAGGTTGATTCCGAATAAATATAGATTGTAATAGAATTCTAAATGTTCCCGAATCGTTAAAGAATTCTAATTCAACTTACAAAAAATTATGTCTATTCCAAATTATTTCATCAAGTACATTGTTTTGGAATTTAAGTCGCTTTAAGATTGGATTTATTCATAGTACAGTGCATTGTAAAAATTAATCAAATTAAAAGCATTGCACGAAGTTTTTACATTTATGATTAGTGGGATGCCAACTATTCCCACAAGGTACATTAATTTTTTTATATTTATAGAGATTTTTAACGAGTATTTTTTTACATTTAAAGTTATTTTGTACATTTAAAGTTATTTTGTCTCATGCATTTTTCAATTACATTTAATAATATCTACTTGTGAAGAGGATTATATAATAGACGCTTTTCGAATGCTTATGAGCATTGAATGAATACTATTCAATTCTGGAAACATGTCAAGACCCAATTAACACAAGTTAGTTTGAGTCAAATTTAATAAATTATGTTTTAATATCATGTATTGCAAATGTATTTTTTTTCCAAATAATGAAACGATTTTTTGCATCCCTGATTATTGTTTTGCTGAATTTTGTAAACTTTAATACAAAACTAAAAGCCTTCACGTGTCATAAAGGTCTTATGTTACCTATTTCGCCGACTCGTTACTAAAATATTTGGAAAGCAATTCTTTGGATACATTACAGAGTAAAACTGATAATCTTGACATTCGGTCGTCAGGTAAAGAAAGTTACAATGAATAAAAAAAGTGAAAATAAAAAAAAAGAAATAATGTATTTTATCTTGATAATTTATCATAACTTATTATAATATCGAATTTAAAATCAACTTATGGTGCTACTAAAATTTCTCGATTTTATAGTATCAAATTTAAGCTGTATTTAAATTTCGTATCAACTTGGACTACATTTGGAATTCCGTTCTACCTAAGTGGATTCAAATTTACAGTAATTCCATTTCGACGTACGACATATATACTGATTTTCAAGGCAAAGGCTCTATATACTGGTGAAGTTGCATCCAGTAATTTTTATTAAAATATAAATAGAATTTTATAGTATAGTACTTTAAAGTATAATGACAGTTCAAAGCTTCACTAAAATTAATGTTCATTTAGTAATAGTGAAAATATATAATTCAAATTTCAGATCAGATTTGAATCAGTCATTACAAAAAGAAAATTAATTGCTTTATTTTCATTAATAGGATAAAATTCGTAATTCTACTAATATAAAAAAATTTTCTAAGATAATGTGTTAAATAGACAAAAAAATTATGGTATGAATACGGGCGCTAAGTTTATTATAGAGTCGTAAATTCACCAGGAACAAACTCTATTTTTTTTTAAGTCTAAATTTTAACACGATCTGATTGGCCTTCATGATCCGTATCCGTTCTTCTGACAATGTAACTATTGGCTGTTGATGATTTTAAGGCCAGGATACAGATAATAACGATAAGAAAATTGTTAAGTGATAATTTCATTTAGAATGATTTTGATGAAAAAGGATCTTTGAATATATTGAATGGTGATTGGTTCACTAATTTGGATTTTTTGTAAAAATTTTTGTAGAAAAGGTAGGATTTTTTATCTAAAATATGATGAAAATCAAGATACATATATATGCAACTTTACTCTTTCTTTATTAAGCTAGTAATTTATGCAATAAACTTTGATCACCTCTAATCAACTCTATGCCAATCAGTCCTTCTTTACTATTGTTAAGTCGATATTAAGTTAAGAATATCGGTTTGGCTCTATACAGTAATAGATTACAAGGAGTAACATAAAAAGTAAAAAGTAGAAACAGTGACACATGAAAGATACATATTCAAAAGGGTTCAATTTATGCACAACATGGTAAAGACTAGATTTCTTTTAATTCAAAATGAAATGATAATTAAAAAAAAAAGCTATATAAATTTGAGAAAGATTTTT